TTTTGGTATGAAGAAATGTCATTGGAGCAACCATTACAAAAATCGGCTCTGCTTTTGAGACTCCAACAAGAAAATAATAAACCGGCATTCTAAGAATCTAAGTCCTGCCCCTTCCTGTCTGCCTTGCACTGCAGGCAGGTGTCTGGGTGGGAAATTGGACACCCCTGCCAGACGGGGTTTCCTGCACTGCCTTGCTCCTGTCTGCCAGCAGGGCCCCAATCGCTCTACAAGGCGGATATGGAGAACAGCTGGTGTCTGCACAGACAAACAGGGCAGGAAGAATGGCAGGAGCCGACAGACATCATGCTGGGCCAAGTAACAGGGAGGCTCCAGCCCTGGGGACCAGGAAGAGACTTAGGAAGAAAGCTGGCAAGAAGGAAGTCTAGGAGAAGGTGCTGAGAGCTTGACCCTGGCCTGGAGTTCCTACCAACACTCTGTTCCAGGAGGTCTGTCATTCAAGAAGCTCACCTACCAGGGGGGAAAAGCAAGATGCTCAAATAAGATGCAAGCTCAGTGCATCAAGACTTAGGGGCTGGGGCTATGTGGTTTAAACACTCTGGATTTGCATCTCAGCTCCATTTTTTACTGGGTGGGTGGCCTTAGCTCTTCTAAGAGAGTTTCATCATCTATAAAAGAAGGATAAAAGGACAACAGCTACAACAGAGCTACTGTGCTGATGAAATGAAATGAAAATCCAGTTAACACTGCCGGCAAGGAGTGAGCTTTCAATAAATACTAGCTATTATGACTTGTTTAGAGTTAGGAAATCCCACACATAGCTCTGTCACTTTGTACAAATGATTCCACCTCTCTGAGTCTCAATTTTTCTAACATGCCAGACTGTTCCGGAGTCTAAATGAGACAGTGTGCACACATATCTAGCAAATCAGCACACACTGCTCCACTAATGGAATGCGTGTCATTTAGGAGAGTGCGGGAAGTCTATCTGCCCTGTGGGTGAGTTTCTCAGGGCAAGCCTGGATGCTCAGAGGAACGGAGTTTCCTGTGATATAAGGTTAGGGCCCAGGGGACAAGCAGAAGTTAAATARGACCAACAGGTAAGGGCAGAAGAATGAGAAGGAAGTACTTCTCATCCCCCASGAGTCTTCCTATTTTGTGAAAGCTGGAAAGAGAAACTAGAGCTTTCTCCTGCCCTGTGGACACCCAGGGGAAGCTCCTGTGGGGCTGTCTGGATGACATGGACGACCGGCAAGGAAGGAGCCTCTTCTACCTCCACCCTTACTTTGCTTCTGGGAAAAGCTGCTTTACTCTTTGCCATGGGGAGGGAACCCACATCCAAATTCCCTGGCAGTCTGGGTTCACGGTGAAACGTCTCTAGCCAGGACTGGAGGGGCCATGCCCAGGTGCACTAGAGACAAAGTCCTATTCACATGTACTTTCTACTTCTGAGACTCAGCCCTATGCAGCAGAAAGAGCAGGACTTGTGAGTTGGAAAACACACTGGATTCAAATTTTGGTATTCACCATTCACTACTTGGGGAAGTCCCGTAAGTAGTCTGAGCCCAAATTTGTCCACCGTGAAAATAATAATATTGATCTCTCAGGGTTGGTGGGAGGATTAAAGAAGATAATGGAGGCCAAGTGTCCAGAAGTGGCTGACATATATGGCAGTCCACATAGTATTTGTTATGATTGATTTTCTCTGCCTATTATCACCTCAAAACCAGTCTCCTGCAGGGATTAGCTGGGTCCAAGAAAAAAGGAGAAAACATTTGAGAAGTTGGAGTGTATGTAGAAGTTACACTGGGAAATTTAAATTATGAAATGTGTTGTTTTGAGATTCCTTTCTTCTTGAGGACTCAATTGTCCAGAATCTTGAACCTGAGGAGCCCTATACACCTTGGGCAACTGGAATAACGAGGACAAAGTTGACTCTGCCACAAGAGAGCCTTAAATCTAAGACATACTTCACCTGCAGCTCTAACAGGCTCTCCCCTGCTGCCCCCCACTGTGTTCACCTTCACGTGAAAATCTCCTACTCCTTCAGGTCCCAAGGTACATGTCACTTCCTTGGGAAGCTTTCTCTGTCCTTGACACTCTTCTCCCTAAAGTCCCGCCCTTCTTCTTCATTGCCTCTCCCACAAAAGAGACTGGAGACTGAATGCGTAGTCATATGGCTTGTTGCTTGATATCAGACTCCCTGGTAGACAGTAAGTCTCCCAAGAGGAGCAGCCCTGTCTGCCTGGATCCTACCATGTGCACACAGCCTGACCCAGAGCTGGGCAAAAGATGCTCGGTGGACATTCAGCTCACTTGAGGAAGGAAGGCTAGCCATCTTCCTTCTGCTGTCTTGCCAGTGGAAAGGAAAAAATATTGAAAGTGGAAGATGAGAAACTTTTAAGACAAAAATTTCAAACCACATTTATAATGAGGGGTCCTTTGAGAAGAGGTGGTACTGATCTCAGAACTCTGGAGCCTGAAGTTGTTGCAACTGACCCCAGTTCAAGAGTCACAAATGGAGACAGGCCTTCTTAAAAAAAAAAAAAAAAWWWTAYACACACACACACACACACACACACATATATGCACACACATATTGAAACCAAAGTTACTATAAAAATTTGGAGTCTACACTTCAATCTCATGACTTCGTCTCCCTACTGTACACTCTGTAATAAAGAGTAAATATATTTAAGGATATCTCACCTAAAATAAACCCCAGTTTTAATTTTATTTTTATATTTTAGTACATAAGTGGCAGTAGTCAGGGAATGAGAGAGCTGTTCTCTCATACTGAGAGTGTAAGACAGCTTGAATTCCATAGAAACTTCTATGTAGAACAAACTTCATTTTCCATTCATTTTCAAAAACAGCCTACTCCAATAGAATGAAATAGAGATAACTATGGTATACATTCATTTGGAAAGAGGTGTCAAGAACTATAAAAATGTTTACAACTTTTATCTGAGTCATTTCAATCCTAAGGATCAATTGTAAAGAAACAAGTATTTATGTGCAAAGATGTTTGTGAGTGCCATTATTTATAATTGTAAAAAACTGAAATAACTGGAAAATTAAAAATAAAAGTGGAAGCAAATAAATTCCTGTCATCACCATCATATATAATAAACAATAATACAGAAAAAGTACATTCAGAAAGTTCACACTAATATTATATAATTATATATAAGATTTGCTGTGCTAAGTCAACAAAACCAAATAAAACAAGATCCCAATCTACAAATGCAGCTATATGTACATGCACACATATATCTTCAAACTTAACAAAATACACAGAAAATACACCCAAAAGAAATACAAAATATGCCAAAAAGAAAACAGAGGCTATCTTTGGACTTTAGGACAATAAATGGATTCATTTTTTAAAAAATATTTTTTACTTGTCAATGGACCTTTATTATTTAATTTATTTATATGTGGTGCTGAGACTCGAACCCAGTGCCTCACATGTTAGGCAAGTGCTCTACAAGTGAGCCATGACTTCAGCCCCAGTAAATAAATTCTTTTGTTCTCTTCTTTCTGGACTTTCTAAAKGATAGAATATATACTGTTTCATAATCAGGAAAGACAATAAAATTTTTAATAGAAAGCAAATTTTATTTTCCTGTGCAAACAATGTATGCCTTCAGTATTCTATAAAACAATCAAAACCTTGGAGAAAAGGGTAAACATCCTAAAATTCATTGCTACACAGGAATGAATGAGCCTAGGGAACCCTAGCATCCTTTCTGTCAACCAGCAACAGTGCCCCCATTTGAGTGTGTCCTTATTCATCCCTGAATGTTACAGTCAGAGCATCTTTCCTTGAAGGAACCAACTCTGAAGGATGTTGCATATAAAGGGACCTGGACTGGAAGCCAGGAGACTGGCTCTGGGTTTATTACTCAACTCTGCCACATTGCACAAATCATTCCTCCTCATGGGCCTCAGCATCCCACTAATAAAATAAGAAGTTTGTGGCAGATAAACACAGAGAGAACTTCAGCCAAGACTGACTATGATTCTTGGCCTGACTTTTACAGGAAGATCGAGTGCAAATGATTGTTGAGATGGAAGGACTTTTCAACTCACTTTATTTATTCATTTATACTTTGTGGTGCTGAGGATCGAACCCAGTGCCTCGCATGCGCTAGGCAAGCACTCTACCACTGTGCCACAACCAYAGCCCTTCATCTCACTTTAAAGATGAGTGTAAATATAGAAAGAGTTTCCCATTAATTCATTCACCACATGCTTCTCAACTTGGGTTGGGTGAGTTTAGCACCCCTTAGCTCTTGGCTGGATCCTCAAACTCTGATGCCAGCTACAGACAGGAGGCAAACAGAGGTAGCCACTCTTCCATGAGTGTTTGATAAGCATCTTACTCAAATGCTCCAGTTTTACTGAATTGCTCCTGTGTGCATCCAAATGGCAAAGGAAGAAAATCATGACCAGTATCCCCCCTCTCCTCCACTCCCAATTCCACAGGTGGGAAAACAAAATGGGTGATAAAACGCTCCAAGGTCATGTGTCCTTATTGGGGATGCTCCATTTTCTCTCTCCCCCCAGACTTCAGCCACTGCTCCCTAATGCATAAATTCTCTCTCTAGGATTTTGCATCCCAAAGTACATGTGAGGTAGAAATTACCATCCCCAAACACTCTTTCTTTGCCACCTCCCTACCCCTTCTCCTTACCCTTCAAGTTTAAGTATAGATACAGCTTTCTCTGCAGGGCCTGTCTAATGCCTCACCTGGTTCCTAATAGCACATGCAATTACCTTTTCAAAGTACTTATTTATTGGCTTCCATAGCTGACTCTAAGCTCTCAGGACCACATCGGCCAAGGTTATCCAGGGCCCAGCACATGCTATTAGCCTAACTTTTGACTAAAGGAATAAAACATAAAACGAGACAAAGCTTGAAGACAGAGCGCTAACACAACCAGGACAATGGGTCACCCAGCATGTAGGAGTGACCCTGGCCAGCAAGCTGCAGAGGCGTGCAGGAGGAGGCTGCCCAGCACCCCACACTGGCCTACCTTTTTGGTCTTCACCGTGGAGGTGCAGCAATCCCCACCATCATAGTTGCAGAAGGCTCGGTTGTTGATGGCATCACAGTAATTGTCTCCCATGAAGGGCTACAGAGGAGGAGACAAACAGGAAGGAAACAAGGCTTCGTGATCAGCCCGGAGTGAGTGGAGGCTGTCCTCAGAGTCTCATGGAGGCCTCTATGGTCATTTCAGTCTCTAATCTTACAAACATCCAGTAAGCTTATCTGTCTTCAAATCCCAACACCCCCTTGGATAGTTAATCATTTTTTACTATTTATAAACACTGTTGTCTGCCATGTTTTTCTCCAAAGCAGTGTTGTCTTGCAGAGAAACATACTCTTGTGTGGTGGAGTATACCAAGCCATAGGAAAGATCACCGCCTCCTCTCTGACACAGAGGGCTCATTTTACTTGAAGAAATTAAGAAAGTTTGAGCTCACTTTCCCCACTTTTCCTGGTAGTGAGTCATTAAATATTTAATTCATAATAAAATATATGCAAATAAATTAGGAACCTGAATATAAACAGCTCAGGAATCATAAATGTAAAACGTTAAGAACTCATAGGAATCAGGCACAATGATCTGTGCCTACGGGTGGATTCCCTAACAGAGAAGTATAAAGAGACTCTGTTATGTGACTACCATAATGAGCCATGACGCCACATGTTTTAAATGTTTTTTTTTTTCTCTTTCTTTCAACAGTATGTGAGGTAGACATTACCATTCCCACTTTACAGATGGAGACCCTGAGACTCACAGTAAGAAAGAGACTTGGTCAAAAATCACACTGGCAGAAAAAGAGTAGTTATTTAATCTAATCTGGCTCCATATCTTCTTCCTTTCATTCAATCACCACTCTAGAATATTCGGAGTGGTACTGATTTACTTCTTTTCTTTTTTTCCCTCTGTGTTCTTTCAATCCTGTGATGCTTCAAAGATGAAGAAAAGATGATGGGGTCAAATCATGACTGGTCTGAAGCCAGAGTCATCTTAGACGAAGTGTCCCCTTGATTCCCCTACCACCTCTATGTTCCCTATCCCAACACTTAGCACACCATATTTTGTGGCTGTTTATGCTTTTATAGCAGATGCAAGTCTCTGAGCTCCTAAGAACATGAGCAATATCCAATTCATCTTTGTACCCCTGTCACCTAGAAAGCTTTGTGGCTAGGGATGGTTCTCTGATGCTCTGTGACTCACGGATGGGAAAGAAGATGCCATCACCTAGCTCAGCCCATCACGTTGCAGCATATCACCTATGGTCTAGTGGTCTCTCCTTCCCCTCTTGACAGCTCAGGGGAGCACCAAGCTCATAAGGAGTCCATCCCCTGTAGCATCCCTGGATTTTGCATCTCTGCTCCAAATTCTCATTGACAAAGCATGGGCCCTGACTCAAGAGGCCAGAATCCCTTTCATTACATATTATTAGATTGTAAAAAATATCTTGGCAAGATGGAGTTAAGAATAAGTAAGGGCTGAGCTCAGGTGTGTAGTGTGCATGCCCGTGGCTGAGCCCAGCTGTGACTCTGCTGTGACTACCACGATGAGCACACGATTGCATTCATGTTAGACCAGAGGGGAACAAATGACAAGGGCTGAATCCTTTCCTCTGTGCCTCAGGAGGTCTGCATGTGGGCTCTGCTCCTTGCCTTCTTCCTCATACAGTATATGGACAGGCTGATGAAGGACCAATGGTCTCCTTTTTAGAATGAAAGGAACTGGCTTGGTAATGAGTAATCCAGAGAAGAGAAGGAGGAAAAAGAAATATATATATATATATATATATATATATATATATATATATGAATGAAAGTGGTTATTTTTCTTTTTTAATTTGGCTCCTGCAAAAAAATCTCCATTCTCATTACTAACTCCTTTCCCTATGTGGCCTTTCCTGCAGCTATCTGACTATCCATCCACATATCCATCCTTTATTCAACACTATTTATCAAATGCCTGCTATATACACATTGCACTAAGGAAAGTGACATAATAGCGAACATTTCTATCTCCTTCACCTCTAGACCTTACATTCTAGTGAAGAAGAAGTCTTTAATCAAATAATCACACATGTAATTGGCCAGTTTCTACTCTGATAAGAGATATGAAGGAGAAGTACACGATGCTATTAGAGTAACGCGTTTGATTTAGTCAGGGAGCTCAGTAAAGGTGTCCCTGAGGAAATGACATTTCAGTTGAGATGATAAAGATGAGTAGGAGTTAATTAGGTGGGGGTGGAGGAGGGAGACTTTCTAGAGACAAGGAACAGCATGAGAAAGTCTCTGCTGCTTAGAAATTTCTCCTGTCACTGGTTTTACTCCTGTTGCTATTTTACATGAGGAAAACAACCTGTCCTTCAAGATCTAGTGCAAATATTGCTCCTCCAAAATGCCTTCCCTAAATCACCCCCTGGGTGTTCTGTGCTTCAACAGCTTCTTGTCCTTGCTTTGTTTAGAGTCTCGGTATATCATGTTAGAATTCTCTCTTTAATTACCTATTTTATTCACTGTGAGTCTTTCTCTAATTGTTTATTTTATTTACAAGGAATAAGAGTCATCCATTTTTGTCCCCCAGATTTCCTAGCAAAATGGTAATTTGAGCAAAACTTTTATCAAATAAATGTTCAGTGAATGTTTACTTAATAAAATGATGGATGAATGGATGGATGAAGGACAGGAAAATATCACAGGTGAGTGATAGTTACTATTTTCATTCGAATAAAACCATTGTATTTTCARAACTTAGACTAGTGACTAGCATATAATAGGCACTCAGTGAAACTTTGATGGACAAGTAAGGGATCAACTTTGAATACAACCAGGAGCAGAGGAGAAGGGGCTCAGCGCTTCCCCCAAACACTTTTTCTATCTTGGCTATCTCCAGAGACACTCAAAGCTTGATGATTCCTCCCTGCTCTCAGGATGTATTCCACTTCTAAGCATACTTTCAGCCCTTAATAAGACACAAACTATTAACTCTTAGCCAAGGAGGAAAGGAGAAGATCAGGGGCACCTGCAAGGGCGAAAGTGATAAGCATCACTGTCAGGGCTCGGAGCCTGACAGGTAAGGGTCTCTGGGGCCTCACTGCTGAGTCAAAGGAGGGATCGAATTCTGCTGTCACACTGGTTGCCCAGACTGCCGACTCAGCAGAAGGGGTGCCCAGGTAACTGAAGCTGCCTTTTCCAAAAATGCTGGGCTGATCCAGAGAGATGGAGGAAAGCAACAGCTGCAAGGTTTGGGTTTTGCCATTTCCTGGCTGAAGCTTGAAAGAGTGGGAGTTCTTCAATACTGCCATGTCAAGTGCCCTGAGAAGCTGCCACACCTCACAGAAAGAAGTGTGTAGCCAGACTGTCTTGTGAGACTTACAGATGGGGGAATGGCTGCTGGCAGGGGGTAGCCTCATGGAAGAGAAAAGCAGCAGCCCAGAAGTCAGAGACCTAGGCTTGCGCTTTGGCTCTGTAGCTCTCATGCTGTTCGAACCCAGACCAGTCCCTCCCCTCTCTGGCCTTCATATCCTAGTCTATACAAAAAGCAAGTAGAGCCAGATCACACTAAGATCCTTTCCAGTGTGGGGGATCCATCAAATTCTGGACCTGGCTTGTGCTTAAGCCACCATTTCCCCATCTTYAAAATCAAATTTTAGGTTTACACCATCTAGAAGAGCCTTTCTCATCCTGCCATTTTAAGAGTTCCATCAAGTGCATATTTTTCCATAGCACAATTTAGTCCCTTTCACCTGCATTTTCCTTGGTGAGCTCTAGGGAGACTCACAGAGATTGGACATCCTTTTGGAGGAGATTTTGAGCTTCTTTTCTACTTCCATTTGAGAGGAACCAAATGGGGGAAGAGGGACACATAGAAAGGTCTTTGGGTTTCATGAGCCCTCTCTGGAGGACACATCTGTATCCCAAGAACCTGCCACYTTCAAGCTTGCGACTGGCACACAGGTCCAGGTCTCCATAAGGCCAAGACTTAGGGAATTGGTCAACTGTGCACTCAAGGGTCTGAAAGGTTCTTCCATTTCAGCTCAATGGTTGGATCTAAGACATCCACATTACCTCCGTGGTTAAAGAATGAGTGAATACTAAGATGTGGAGCACAAGGAACTCATCTGCAAATACAGGTCATGAATAAAATAAAAATGAGAAAAAAAACCTGCCTCTTGTAGCTCTATAAAGGCTAAATGTGGTAATGATGATAAATTTCCTGGCATATTAGAGATGCTCMATCACTACTGCCTTCCTCCTTTCCTTTCTTACAGAACCAATATTATGCAGGCCACAGGCATTGGCGACAGAAAAGCCTGCCTTGGATGGCTAGCTTTGTTATCCATGACCTGTAAGCTTGAATATGTTTCTTCATGTCTCTGTGCCTCAACTGCAGCATCTGTAAAATGGGATTGCTAATCCCTGTAAGAAGTCTGTGCCCAATGGATATTCATGACCCTTTTTCGGCAAGGTAAATGGTAGCCACCATAAGCATAGCGTAACAACATTAGAATTATTTCCAGGTAGCTGAGGAGTATTTCCCTGTGACTCACCTCACAGCCTTTGACACAGTGAATCAGAGCAGGATGAGGATACCACTTGAGACCAGCCGTGCAGACGACTCTCTGCAGAGAGATGGAGACAGAGGTCAGAGGGGTTGGGGATTGGAGGCAGCCACCTCTTTGTTGGYACCACATGTAACCACTCCACCACTCAGGCTTTCCAAGTCCTGACCTCACCCTATATTTACATGGAGAACTTGCCCAGGTACTTGTAATAACAGGAGCCATAAGATTAAAACAATATTTGCGTTCACCGTATGTGTCTTGACTCTGTATTTCCCTGGCAGGAGCAAATGGTTGTGGAGAAGTGGAATTGGGAGATGGAAACATGAAGAGAAAGKCCCTTCAGAAAATTCTTGACTGATCTTGGACCTACTGGTGTCGTTGGGGATAAGGTGGGAGAAGTCGAGTTTGGTGTTTGTGAGTGTGTGCAGATATGTACGTGTATGTGCATGTGTGTATGTGGCCACAGCAGGGAGGGAGATGAGAGCAAGGTGTGGAGCAGGGTGTCTCCAAGCAGGACCTGCGGACTGTTGTCATCAGAATTCAAAAGGCAAGTTCCTTGAGTCTGTTATGTATGTATCGAATGAATCTGAATCTCTGGGCCTAGACTCTTCATTTTCAAATCTAGCCTCTTCAATAATTCTGATGGTTTGAGAGCAAGCACTCTGGAGGATGAGCAAGCCAAACTCTGCTTGGAACCCCAGCAAAGCAGGGACCCTTCCTGTTGTCCTCATCACATGGATACAATTGGCTAAGGCTGCCTGGGCTTTTGTAACAGAATATTGTTCTTACAGTTCCTCTTCATTAAAATACCCTTCCCCATYTGGGCACTTTAAGAATCTTTGGTATCTTTTAAATATCTCCCAAGACTTACTTCCTCTGTGGTGCATTTCCCAACCTGCTTAGGCAGCGCTTGTAGATATGCATATATGTACTTATTTATAGCCTCCCTTAATAATAATGATGATGATGGTGATGATGATAATGACAACTAAAATATACTGAGTGTATTTGTGGTGCTAATTACTTTATGCATTATCTTCTTTATTTCTTGCCACCCTGCTGTCAAGTGGGCATTAATCTTGTGTCACAGGAGAATAAATTCCCCAAGCTCCACAGTAGAGAAACCAAGGTTTGAAACAAGCCATTGTTCCAGAAATGATTTAAAACGGCTTACAGCATAAAATCCAACATGATGATATATTTTTAAAGTAAGTGAAAGAAGAATGATAAACAAAACTAGTAAGAGAAAATACTGTACAGAAAGGAACTATCATAAGAATCTTAAAAGCTCCTTTTCTACTCACTATAGATTCCCTGATTGCTAGATTATGATTATTTTCTTAAAAATGAAATTGTACAGGGCTGGGGTTGTGGCTCAGAGGTAGAGCACTCACCTAGCATGTGTGAGGCACTGGGTTTGATCCTTAGCACATAAAAATAAAGATATCATGTCCACCTATAACTAAAAAATAAATATTAAAAAAATTGTACAATGAGAGGTAGTTGTGTCAGGGACCAACAACTGAGGTCTATATGGTCAGGGATCGCTCTCCTGGCTGAATGCCAATTGATTAATTTTAATTAAGAAATGAACAGTCATACGGGCCAGAATGTGGGGAATCCATGTGACCAGCCCATTCTCTCCCTGAAGGCAGACGTATAAAGAAGCCAAAGTGTAATTAGGTTTCTTGGCAAGCTTGTGACAAAAGGAATCACATGACTCCAGGCTAGGAATGGGTTGGTGCCTTTCTGTTCTGCTCCACAGCATCACTGGCTCATGTGTGAGATCTCATGTGCCTGGAACAGGGCCTGGCACACAGAGGAAGCCCAATAAATACTTAGGTTATGAAGGAATAGATCCATCTCAAAGTCGAGGCCATTTTACCAATGAAAAATAACTTCCACATTTGTTCTCTTCTTTTACAGAGTCTCAGAACTCTCAGTGCCAGGCTAAGTGCTAATTTAGGGGGTTAACTTTGTGTAGACTGAATTAAATTAGAGATCTTGGACAAGGAGCTTCACATGATGATGTGCCAATCTGTTTCTTGATGTGACATCTTCTATCTGGCTCCCTATTGACACCATCTACCATTTCCCAATACACACAAAAGGTAGTCTATGAGAAGACCAAATAGATCTTGAGTAGGGCAGGTGTAGTTGCAACTATAACTTGATATTCCTTTGTAAATTTCTAATAGGAGTCTTGGTTCTTCCATGTGTGAATGAGCACTGGAAATGTCAGAGGCTTGTCATGATGATGCATTGAGGTAAATGGTTAGAGAAATGGTTTCTCAGATCAATTCCTGAAATTTCATAAGGGTAGGTTGAAGGCTTCAAACACTTCTTGACTCCCTCCAGGATCAGGCCTGGAGCACATATATATTTGAGAATTGTGAATGGACTTCATATTCCTTCCTCCCTCTGCTTCCCAGCCATGGTACCAGAGTGGACAAATCACCTGCTTTCCTCCTCTGTGAAACGCTTTAGTGAAGTTTTTTCCTGATTCTGAATCTGCCACCAACCAAAATCCAGAGATGTTGGAAGGTGATTGTAAAGATTCAAGAGGTAGAAAACAGCAAGATGGGGACCCACTAGGGACTGGATCCCCATCCTTCCCCCTGTTTATCCAAGAGCTAATTTAATCCATCCGTCGGAATGTCACGATGTGGTTGTACAAGTTTCTGTCAATCGAGGTTTACCTGACGTGAGTTCAGAAAAAGGACTTTTATACTATCTGCGTGAGCCTATTTATCTTTCCAAGGCTTCTGGATTTTCCACTATTACTCAGGGCTGCTCGCCCCACCTGTCTGACTACAGGGCCCCTCTGTGTGCTGGGGGAACTGGGAAAGGGGACAGGCACTCACTGGGAGCTGAAGGAAAGGCTAAGCTGTTTATGCCACAGATTGAGAGATCCCAGAAGGGGCCCCTCAAATGTCAGCCTTGTTTCTCCAAATGCCAGTGAAGACATTTAGGCCAGGCAGAGAATTTTCAGACCAGATTTTGTAAGAAGGCTCCATTTCCTGCCTTGGTGGATAGGGAGAAYAGACTTGTCTCTTATTCTTGGCTTCAATTAACATCATCCTACCAGCACCAGCACCACTGCCATCATCACCACCAGCATCATCAGTAACACCACCAGCAGTCTCCCTGTCACCATCAGCACCACCACTCTCATCAACACCATCATCACCATCATCCTCATTAGCCCAAAACTAAAGGAATCACATGACTGGGTACTGGAAATGTCAGAGGCTTGTCATGATGATGCACTGAGATAAATGGTTAGAGAAAAGAAATGGTTTCTCAGATCAGTTCCTGAAATTTCATAAGGGTAGGTTGAAGGCTTCAAACACCTCTTGGCTCCATCCAGGATCAGGCCATTTATAAAATAAATGAATATTGTATTCTAAGCATCATGTTTGGAGCTTTCACCTCATAGGTATTATTTTTCACTCTGGTTTCCATAAGAGGAAACCAAGGCACCAAGAAGTTAGACAACCTGCCCCAAATCATACACACACACACACACACACAGTGACAGCAATTAAATCTAAATCTGTCTGACTTCAAGGTCTACGCTGTGAATACCATACGGTACTTCAAAGTCTCAGAGATACTGAAGTTGTCTTTATAAAAACAGGTCACTCAGGCAAACGATGGGAAGATCAAGGTTCAGAAAGGTGGAGAGACTCTAAGATAAGTGTAGGAGAAGCGGAGTATCTAAAAAAATGAAGACCAGTGAAGACAGGTCCCAACCAGAGTCCAAGACATGGGAGAGAGTCTTCAGAGGGCCTCCTCGTGCTGAGGCCCAGATCGGATCCCCTCTTAGATGTCTACTCAGATAAGTTCTCCTTTTTCTTTGACTTACAGGTCCTGCTCCTAGTGAATCCTATCAATTAGTGTTATCAGCCTTTTGTTATCTGTCATGGAGCTTCTGGCTTTCTTCCATGTACTGTCATGGAAGTCCCTAGTGTTTAAAGCACACCTGCCATTGGGAAGTACAAGATCAATGTTTATGCATGAAGGAACAAACAAACAAATGAGCAAAGGAGTGAATGAATGAGTGGGTCCATGAGTGAATGAGAAATTACTCAATATACTCTGGCTGCATCTCTTCCATTGTAAGCTTCCCCCCCCCCCACCCCCCGGGAAACTGATATCTTCATCTACACGGAAGATGGACTGGACTTACTAGTCACAATCATTCTATCTTTGACCTTCAGACTCTTGGTATGGTGGTCCATCATGTCATCTTCTTTTCAGGGAAGCAATTCTGCATCCTCTGTCTGCATGTACTGCATGTGTCTGTTTTTTCAAAATGTGGAGGATGGTTGACTTAAAGGATGTAATGAAGCAGAATTAGCTAATTCAACTACATTGGTTATGTAAACCAGGCAGCTGTAACCTCTCTGAGCCTCATCTTCAACTGTAAAGTGAGGTACAGTCCTCATTGGATGTGACAGAGCCACAGTGAGGTGACATCTATGGAAATGCCCTAGCAAACAMGGCCTCTTCCCCTCCTCATTCCCTATTTCACTCCATTCCTCTCTTTCCTCCTCCCATTCTTTATGTTAAAGCCAAAGGCTCTCCTACCAGGATCCTAAGGACACATTTTATGTAAATCTCCCAGCATCCCTCAGCAAAGAGCATTGCAGGGGCAGATTGGCCAGGCTTCTTAGGAGCTGATGGGAAAAGCTTCCATCCCCAGAATTCAGATATCAAGGCTGGAAGAGTCTATCTCATCCTAAACTTTCAATCTTGCACCTTCTAGGCTACACAACCTGCAGAAATGTTTGCTATGGCACTCCAGTGACTAAGACGGTCAGAATTAGTTGTTAATAGTAAAAGAAAAGAAAAAAGCGACTTCAGATTTTAGAAACTCCAGATTCAGTGTATTGAAGAAAAACCAAAATATGGGGCCACACAAGGCCCACATTTCCTCATTGCTGCTCTTGACCAGACCCACCTCCCACCGGAAGTGGCTACAAAAATGATGTGCTTTTTTAGTTTTTTTTTTTTAATAGTTCACCACAGTTTCCACCCTTCCTTGCTTTCTCTCCAGCATCAAGACAGAGGGCACTTCTGACTATTGCTGAGTTTACATCATATCATTTATTCAGTTGTAGGAAGAGGTCTCCATACTGCTTTCTCCTACAAAAGTGCATATGAAGGAAGTAAAGTTGAGAAGGGGATGACTTAGGGGGAAAAAGGGGAACATAATGTTTTTCTTTGTAGAAATTAAAATATGGATATGAAAGAGGCATATGAGACATACACTGTGTGATTCTAGTTATAAGTCTGAAAATCAACAAAACCAACTGCAGAGGTGGAGACCCAAAACAGCCACCCCACTGACGGTGACATCCTGGAGTAGGCAAGGTTCACATCCTGATGTGGGGGGTGGTGATTTCAGGGGTCCACAGGGCATAGGAACTGATCAAGTCTCAAGCCTCATGCTTCCCATTTGTGTAAGTTACATCTTAAGAAAGGAAAAATTAAAACTTCTCAAGTTTTTTTTTTTAAGTTAGGTACTATGCACAGGGGGGTTTGTTGTATTTTTCTGTCAGTCTCTCTGTCTTTATGTAGTATTCCTAGTAAACACCAGGATCACTGTTAATAACATGCCTAGGTGTTTAATATATAGAACATGCCAGCCTGTTTCCCCTACTTATCCTACCTGCCAGATTCTGCAGGTGTTTGACAGTAGGACACTGAATCTAGGCTTAGCTTTCATTTCACAAATGAGGAAACCGTGACCTAGAGAAATGATAGAATTTTCYCCAAGACATAGAGCATGAAGGTGCCAGGACTTGGACTACAGTCTTGGTCACCTGACTCAGCAACCATATATATTTACTGAGCATCTACTGTGCACTAGGAACTGAGGGAAGTGCTACGGTAAATAAGATGAGCACAATCCTGCCCGCACAAGCTCATTGTTCTCGTGTTGTAATCTTGACGCATGATCTCAGGGCTGATATTCTGCTCCTCTACATAGTCATCAGACGTGTCAGTGCGTGCAGAGCCCGTTGTGGGTAAGTGTCAGTGGTGGGCCGCAGCTTGCACAGGCTCAAGARGGCCAGAAGTGTCTGTGTCTTCCCAACTTTGTTTTCAGCGATGGATATTTAGAGACCTTGACACCTGCTCTGGTGGAAGTATTTACACCACAGAAATCGGCAGATGCTATAAACATCCTCTTTTTTATTTTTCTTCTTTTTCTTTTTGCCTGCCCCTTCCTGGTAAGCAATCAGTAAGCGTGCCTTRCCTTTGTTATTATTATTTTACATTCCCCAGGGACTGCTGGAGTTTCTGAATCAAATGGCAGCATTGGGCTGCTCTGGGTCAGGTCCCTCTCTAACTTCTCTTAGGCAAGAGGCGCCATCTCTGAGATTCCATTTCCTCTACTGATAAYGCCCACCTATTACGCAGGGGTGTGTGTGTGCGGGTGGGGAGTGCCTGGCCCAATGTCTGGTTGCAGAAGGCATCTTTTGATGGCAGTCGTGACCCTTCTCACTGTTACTCTGGGGCAAAAGCAGGAGGTACTGGAGCAGAACCTCACTCTAACCATCTTCCTTGCAGTACTGCACAGAGGCCAACCCTCAGGAAGCAGAGGAGCTATCCAGGGCCTCCCTGGGCCTGGAAATCCTGCACCAGCAGCTTTACTTGTGCAGCTCTCAGCGCATGAAGGGCAAGGGTGCAGCAGGGGCCAGCTTTGCTGCCTTATTCCTGGAAGTCATCAATCTATGCCCTTCGCCCTCCTCCCTTTTTCTACATTTTTTTCCTCCTGGATAATGAGGCCTCCAGAGACCGGTGGAGGTCTGAACCTCGTTATGGCTCTCTCGGTAGGCCGGCATCAATAAAGGCAGGCAGACTGGGGAACTGGGTGGGGGCTGGAGCGGGCAGGCAGCGGGTGGGCGACTAGGGGGGTGGGYGGCTTGCAGGCTTTCAAATCCCTGGATTTATTTCACAGTGAATTACAACTGAACTYTTTAGTGCCCCCGGCTCACAGAGGGAAGGGTGGGAATTCACTCAAGGGATGGAAAAGACCTCAAATGAGAGCCTCGCCAGGCCAGGAAGACTCTTGATACTGGGGTGACAGGGAGGTCTCTTGTGTCAGCTCTGTGGGTGAGTAACGCTCAGCTGCTTTGGGGTTTGGAGGAGCTGCCAATCACAAGTCCTGGCGGGGGGTCTAGCTATACTGCCCATGTGATCCCGACCATCCCTCCCTCTGCAATCCTCAGCTTCTCTGAACAACCAGGGGCTTAGATTTGGGAATCTCCAGATGCCTTGAGAATGGGACTCAGGTGCTCAGCACATCCAGGTACACCAAGGCACTCTGGGAGAATCTGCGTGGGGATTCRAGCATAGGAATCGGGAAGGGCACCTGGAGGAGGAAGAGACTGATCCAGGAGCCTGATGTTAAGGGACTCAGGACTTCCTGTGAATGTACAGAGAAAAAGAGAGAGGATGGTGATGGGCAGGGGACAAGTGGTCAGAAAGAGACAGACCAGTGTGAATGAGATAGGAGGAGAGAGAGAGCGGGAAAGCAGGGGTGGGGTAAAAGGAAATGAAATTGGAGAAACAAGGATGAAACAGAAAAGAGTGGAGTAGAAGGAGAGACCGTGGAAGGGATGTGGAGGGGAGACGCAGACCAGGGTGCACAGGGGAGCCGAGGGTTCTGGCCAAGTCCACTTGCCCAGAGAGCTGAGTAAGCCCTGGAAACCRTGCCCTCAGCTCATTTGAGAAACAGTACACCCCGTATCAGGTTCTGGCCAGCTATCCAGGGCTCAATCTGCAGCAGGCGGGCAGGCGGCAGTTCCTGACACCCCAGGCAGAAAGGCTGGTGGAGGGATACAGAGCTGGCTGAACCTCASCTGCCCCCACCTCCTTCTGTCACTTCTCCAAGGTAAGGAGCCAATGTCCAGACCCATCCATGAGGCCTGGGAACCATGCTGTCCTGGAGGACAAGAATGGGTTCCATATCAGCTTGGGGTCCCTAGCTGATCAAGTGACATAAGGGAAAGTGAGAGCCACCAACCTCAGAGGCAAACTGACACTGTTACAGGTGGGGGCCTCCACAGTCATCCGGCCAGGAGCACGGGAGCCTTGTGCTGGGGGAAGTGTGTGGTGTTTGGACTTGGGTTTGGGTTCAAGCCCTTGCTTTGGGTTCTTCAAAACACTCTGAGGTCTCAGTGTCCAGGAGTGCAAACAACCACACCCCCTCCTTCCTCCTACCATCAGTAGTGGGTTTAAATGTTATCTTGTGTGCAAAGCCCCAGGCACATGAACAGGGTAAGCGCTCTATAAACAAGAGGTRTGACTATTCCCTGTGGTTAATGCACATAGTAATTGCTTCCCACCAAACTGGTAAAGCATGAAGGAAGAGTCCCCCAATCCAAGGCTAATAAAATGCTCAGCTACAAGGAGGGTGTTAGAGAAGCCAAACATCRTCGCCACTTTACATCCCACCGACATTAGGACTGAGACCTGGCTCTGTACCCCCTACCTRTGTGTTCTTGGTGCCTCAGTTTCCTCACCTGTACACGAGGTACATTAGGACTCTTATTCCTACTCTCTTATCAGAACTCAGAGGGACAATAAATAAAAGTCCCTCCACACAGAGCCTGATGGGAAGTATTAAATAATTGTGGCCTAGAGAAAGGATTGTGAGCTAGCCCCCACTCTAAAGGGCAGGTATGATGACTAAATGTGACAGTAGTGGCAAAGGAATGGATTTTGGGCTGGGACATGGTAAGGGCTCTACAATGGCACCTCCCTCCTCATCGGCTGCAGCTGGATGGCCCTGGTCACTCACCTCCACTCGTGTGGGGTTCAGCCAGTGGGGGATGTCACGCACAGTCACGTTCGTGGGCAGGATGATGGACTCGCTGTTGTGGTCCAGGCACGAGGTGGCACACTCTGACCCTGAAGGGAAACACAGCACAAGGTGGCACCTTAGCCCGTTTCCCAGTGGCTACCAGCTGTCTTCCCATAGAGTGGGCATCGCCACTCCCTGGTCCCCAGTGAACGTGGCCGTCCCAACTTCAGGGCAGTGGAAAGGAGTGAACTCTCTTGGCAGGGCCACCTCTGGTCTCCCTGACTCCAACCACTTGTCTCCAGTCAAGCTGGCAGCTACCACTTCCTTGGCCCCAAGCCTAGTTGGGTCATGATCCTCCTCTGCCCGGAAACCTTTCCCATGTTGCCCACATCCAGGACAMAGTCCAGTCCACTCTGCTTGCCCTTCAGCGCCTCTCATGATCTGGTCAGTTTTCTCTCCACCTTCTTGACTCAGTTCGTCCAGTGGCACTGAACTCTATACACTGGGGCTTCCATCTGAGCCCCAAACTTTTYTACCTCTGCTTCTGTTCCTATTCACCCCATCTGTTCCTATATCCCCCAAGACTACCTTCCCATGACCAAGCCCTGTCAGTTCTTTTTCAACCACCCCAAGATGTCTACGCTGATTTCTGCATCTTCTCAATGACTACTGCATGTGATCACTCTTTCAGATGGGCACTGATGAGTTTCTMTTTCCCCCTTCGGCCCCAGCTCCACAGGCAGATTGGTGCCTAGAAAGATAGAGGTGGGGTTGATTCATCTCAGAGTCCTGCCCAGTGCCTGACACCCTGGGCATCTACCAAGTGAGAGATGAGGACATAAATGTCACTCAGCCCCTTAGTCCCCATGCTTCCCCTTCCACTGAGCTTTCGTCCCTACCCTCTCCTGGGCCTTCTGGACCCTTCCCATTCCTCTTCTATTTGCACATTACTAATGACCCTCCTCCAGACTTGAGCACAAGTACCACTTGCCCAGAGAGGACCCAGGACTTCATGCCAGGCCAATCCTTACAAGCACCCATCATCCATTTGTCACATTGCCATTTCTCATTTGTTCAACGCATGTTATATCAATAGTTTTCTTTCCTGATTGACTGTAACTCCATGGGGTCAGCACCGTCCCTGTTTCCCATTCTATGCTCAGAGCCTGGAATGAGTGACAGTCTGAATGAGTGAGTGAGTGCATCAGTGGACGAGGAAATGCGTGCATGAATGGATGGAGGAGTGAGGGATGAGTGTTTAGGTATCTTATGAAGGAGGAAGTGAGTGCATACCTGCATGTGTGAGTGGGTAAATGACGGACTCAACGGATAAAGGAATAGAAAATGAATCAGGTGATGAGTCAATCGCAGGAAGGATGATTAACAGGGACAGGTTTAGTACACAGAAGTGCCTCGTCCAGGGATTTCTGGGTGACGACGGTTGACCTTCAGGCTGTGGGTTGGCAGGTTGACTATGACTTGGCTCATTCTTTTTCCAGTAGGACCTCACAGGTTCTGTGGGCTCCTAAAAATAAAGCTTATCCCATCGGATGTTCCCAGGACTCTCCAAAAGGGTCCTTATCCATGTGGGCAAGAACTGCCCTGTCAGAATCTGACCAGACACTGAGGAGGTCACCTCTCTGCCCTGGTGCCAGAACAACCCTCTGAACACAGTCACTGAGAGCGAACCAGGTCTTTTCTTTCAATATTCTATTCTATTAGACATTCTAAACCCCTCCTCCCACATGTAGATGATGTGTGTGTGAGCACGTACATACATATGTGACGCGCACACATGCTGACATGCAGATATGGACATAATCTCTCCACGACCCTTTCCTTTCACCATCTTACCATGATCTTCAGCCTGAGAAGCCCACAAGGGCCAAAGACAAAGTTGGGGTGCTGTCAAGTCCAGAACAATGTTTAAAACACATCCATTTAAATATGGGGACACCCCCAGACCTCAGGTGGTTTTCCTAAATCACTTCAGTCCCTAGCAGCTCCAGCCCTGGGACCCAGGCGTCCTTACACCCCTTTTGTAGGTTACAAAGCCACAGGCCCCGCAAAGGACAAGATGTGGCCACACAGAGAAGAGCGAGGGAGACAGGAGAAGAGCACAGAGATGGTGAAGGGCAGAGGAGAGGAAAGAAATGGGGTGGGAGACACCAGAAGATGAAAGGGGGCAAGAGTCAGATACCTAGGGAGAATCAGGGGTGTATGTTTTGTCATGAGACCAGCCTGAAAGGAGCTTTAGGGAGCAAAGATGAGACAAGACTGTGATGATAAAATTCTTGTGGAAAATGCTTCCTCTGAGATGCATCACTCAACAGACAAAGGCTGTCTAAGCTCTGGGAAGAGGAGGAAATGGGGTCCACACGGGGGGGCCCTGGCTGTCCTCGGCGGCAGTCCTGCCTTCCTGCCCTCCTTTCTCTCTGCTCCCCTCCCCCAAGCCAGGCTCCTGGGCTTCAGGACCAGGCTGTGTGTTGTGATCTATGAGCCAGAATTGGTATCATTACAGAGTGGTGATCTCACTGAGCCCCACCTCCCCTTCCCGGGAGGCGCAGGAGGTGGCAGGCCAGTGGCAGCAGCAGCCTCGCCGGCAGCAGCAGCCATCTACAGGCTCATATCTGCCACGGGAGCCTCCCCAGGCTGCTTGGGAGGGCCAGGCTGGGCTGGGTGACTGTGCCTTCCAGCCCCCGCCCGCCCGCTGCACACAGGCTTATAAGGTCTCTGATCAAAACCCTGTTCCTGGGCAGGTGGGCTCTCCCCAGGCAGTGCTCAGCCTGGGGGCTGGACAAGSGGCTTTGTGGGAGCCCAGAAAAAAGGGAAGGGAGCATCTTTCCTCCCTTCTCATTGTCTTCCTCAGTCTCCCTGAGTCCCACGTGGGTCCCTGTGTACTGTCACCCTCCTGGATATTGTGTTCATAGGATGGGCATCTAGGGTCSCATGGGTTCTGGGACCCGTTTGTTTTCCAATGTCATACAGATTTCTTTCTCTTTCTGCTTTGACCTTGAAAAAGGCTCAGTGGTAAAGGAATCCTGCCCTGRCACACACCCCTTCCTCTCTCTCTAGACAGTTCTGAGGAGAGTGGAGAGCCAGGCATTGGAGCTCATTTGCATGTGGTTGTAACATGTGAATACAGTATGCACACAATGTGGCCGTGTCATCTACTTGTGTAAATGTGTGCGTGAGCTCTGTGCAGCTTTGTGCGTTTGATATATCTGGGGGCCTACAATGTGTTGATGGCCCTGAAAGATGTGTACTTGTGTACTGCGTGTGTGTTTGCTATGGGTAGGTTATGTGCTTTGTGTGTGAGTGTGTGTGTTTGTGTGGGGCCTTAAAATCTTAACAATATTATATCAATTAAATAGCACAACTTGATTATTAACTTCTAGAATTCGTAATTCTGACCCAATCGTGTGATATTTGGATGATCTGCAGATGTGGGGCCTGAACTTACTGTACGGTGTGTGTGTGTGTGACRCTGCATTTGGTTACAAAGCACTTATGCATGTGGTATGTATTTATAGGTGTGTGAATGTGTTTGAATGTGTCCAGGTATAGACACACAGTAAATCTACTCCTCTAGTTTTTTTTTTTTTTTTTTTTAAGAAATGTTATTAATCAGAACTTCCCCATGGGGATTCTTAATGTCAGTCACAAGCATGATCATTCACTGGTCTATTCTGATTGCGTTGGGGACAGGGACCCCATCTCAGCCATGCGTGACCAGTGTCATGCATGCCCATTTGGATGCAGCAGCCACTGTGGCTCACCAGGGAAGCAACTGTGGCACAGACAAGAATGTCAATCTTGGCTGGCCCCACAAGATCCCATCTCTCTACAACCCTCTTGGTCACGGTCATTTGGATTAATGGGCTCTGTAAGATCTTAAAGTTCCTTCTGAACCATCAGAGAGAGAGCATATCCATGTGCTTTGGTGTTTTCTGATGCTTGCAGAACAACTACCCTAGGCAAACAYAGAAACGCTGATTCCTATCCCACATTTAGATGAAGAACTTCTGCCCTCTGAGGAGGTGGACAGTGCCCCAAGGGTCTCCACTCTCCAACCCCAGGCCTTGATTCCTGAAATGCCATGACGACTCCCGGCACGCCAGTTAAAGAGGTTGCCTCTGTGGACATTCAGATAAMCTCTGCCCAAGAGAACTCTGGCAACTTCCCCATAAATCACACTGGCCATGAGRAAAGACATTCGATTCCCTGGGCTTTTCATCATGGTCAATTAGGGAATCAGATCAAGGGGTCAGCATCACTGCCCCGGAATGAGGTCAGACTCCATGGGCTCCGAGTTCTCGGCAAAGTCCTCGTACAGTTGCTGATGAATGCCTCTGTCCGGATTCCTGGTTTCCACCAGAGAATCCCTGGCATYGGGTCCCAGGTTGAATCCTTCCCTGTGCATTTCTCAAAGCGGCCTATCACTGCACAAACAGTAATTGGAAAATGCTGATTATCTTCCCTGGGAGGCACCCCAGATGTCATGGAAAGGAGCCAGGCTTTGAGGAGGCCAGGACTCAGGACGTGGGGGCACATTTCATTGCCTCTCCAGGTTCAATTGTCTCATCTGTTAAYGTTATGGAGAGGAAAGGAAATGATGCCCTTTAAGTCCTCGACCCAGGGCCTGACCCCATGGCAGGTGCTCATTGACATTTAGTGTGGTACAAAGTTTAGTTACAATGAAAGCAGGTACACAGGCTTCCTATAATTTCCCTAGACAGGGTACGTACTTTATATCTCCTGCCCCTTGGTCCCATGGTTTCTGGATGCTCTTTCTTACCTGGCAGGCTCTTTCGAATCTCTGGGTAAGCATCCCTTCCTTCAGAAGCCCCTACTTGGCATACAGCAGGTTTCTCTGCTGTGGACTCTGCCCATCCATCTGCCATGACTTCACCAATGTCCCGTGTCTGACCCACTTTCTGGGAGGTTAGGGTCTAGTCTCATTCGCTGTTTCCCTGATGCCCATGCAGGTTCTCACGTGGAGAGCTGCTCGGTGACCCACCCAGGCACCCAGTTCCTGGGAGGACCCAGCCTCCCACTGCTCCCCTTGCCGGCCCATCATACCTATGGCGTAGCCGTCGGGGCACTGCAGTTTGAGGTTGCTGTTGAGCTGGGTCGGGGCTGAGCACTGGCCTTGCATCTCCTGGCAGACATGGAAGGAACCACTCCAGGTGCCATCTTTCCGGCAGTGGATGATGTTACTCCCGCGTCCCTGAACAGCACAGGTACAGAGTCAGGGACCCCAACTATCCATAGGACAAGCCTCTCAGAGTACAAAGAAACCAAAGTCTCATTTCCCACGGGGCTGAAAGTGTTCCAAAACGATTTCTTAACCGGGGCTGGCACTCAGTCATCCTGAAAGAGAGGGACGGTTAGTATCTCCATTTTAAAGATGGAGAAACTGAGAACTCTAAACAGGAAGGAACTTGCTCCAAGCTTCCTAGACAATGTAACTCCAGGTTTCCTAAGATCTGAGCATAGTGATCTTTCAGAAATTTCAATCTAAACCATTGTGYTTGGATTTGTGCTATTGATTTAGTTGTCTTTTTTATAAAATCGAGATGGTGGGAGCCCACTAGCTCTACTTATTGAGCCAGTGAGAGAGATTTACCAAAGCTTGTCTTGGCAGATTTACCAAAGCTTGGTTTCTCTTGGCCTGGGAGAAAGCATCCTATGTCAGGGTTCTGCCTGGCATTTGCTGGGTCACCCCAGCCCAGCTGAGAAGCTTTGCCTTCCGTGGCCTCCCTTGCCTCCCTCCCTCCCTCCCTTTTCCTTCTCTTCCTTCTCTCCCTGTCTCTCCTTTCCCCTGTYCTTCACTTCCAGCAGTAATAGCACCAAAAGAATGGTGTGGGGCTACTTCTAGTTGTCACTGGCCCACACCAAAATAGGCAAYGTATTGTCCCTCAATCTACAAATTATTAGGCAAATGCAGCTTGACAGCACAGGCCCTTCTTCAAGCCCCTTCCAACCTCCAAGATTCCAGTGGGTGGTTCTTCCTTTGTAGGTATTTGAGAACTGCCACCAAATTCAAGGAATAGTCCAACTCTCTGCCCAGCTCTGTAGGGTAAAAACATAGGGGACCAGTATCTGCCCAGGGAGCTGGTGGGAAAGGTGGGCATGGGAACAGCCGGCCACGTCCRTGTAACTGTGCTCAGTGACACAGARGGCCCCYGGAGCTTTGAGTACTTGGGGAAAGGCAACTGGTGGTGAGTGTACAACCAGGGAAGACCTCTCAGAGGAGGTGAAACACGGAAAAGAGAGTGCAAGGATGGGAAGAATTCAGGCATCRAAGAACATGCTGGAAGATGGGCATGTGGAAATGCCAGGTAAAGTGGGCACAGCAGAGCCTGGTGGTGTTGGGGGTCTGTGATCAGGGGAGGAAGAAAAGCAGATGAGGTGTGGGCTCTGGAACCGACTTAAGGAATCCTGACTCTCCCCAAGGAAATGGAGGGGACAGGATGGTTTCTTCACGTGGGGTCTTTCTTGCAAAAGATTTCAGAACAAGCTGTACATRCTCTCCCTCTCCTATAATAAGATGAGAGCCTCAACATGGTGACCTTGAGCTTTCATTCAGATTCCTTCTCTGCCCTCTAGGGCCCTCCCACTCACTTCTTCCTGGTGCTCCCCCTCAAGGTCCTCCTCAGCACCCTGAAGGTCAGTTTCAACTACCTGCAGCCCAGAAGGCCCACGTATTATGCTTTCTATTATTGGTGTGTGTGTGTGTGTGTGTGTGTGTGTGTGTGTGTGTGTGTGCATGCTTTTTGATCCTCTATGCCCCTATCTCCCTGTCCACCTGGCAAACATCTTATCTATGGGGACCCTGTCTGCCATAATTCCACCCCAATTCTGCACAGTGCACTACCTCAGTATCTCTGACGCAGTGTCATCTCCTGGTTTAGTCTGGTTCCCCCACTAGCTAACGAGCTCCTCAAGGCCAAAGACAGTACCCTGTTTGGCCCTATATCCTCAGGGCCTCTGCCATGTCCGGCCCTTCAGTCCACTCAACAGATATTCTGTTCATTCTGGAACTGGTTGTTTAACCAAAGATGGGGTGAATAGGTGGAGAGTGATGAAATGAAATATTTTTCTAATAAACAGGAGAACACATGAATGCAAAATTGAGGGAATAAATGCATAAGTRAGTAAACAAAGAAGTGTGGGAATAAATGCAGAAAAAGTGAGTGCATAGAGACATGAATCAACTCTTTGAAAGGGCTGATGTGGACGGAAGCTTCGCTGTCTGAGAAAACAGCTGCAAGGAGACAGGATTCAGAACAGAAAGGGGGCCTCCTCTCTGGGTCTCTCCTGGGCCAGCAGGAGAGGGTGCAGTTGTATTAGAAGCCCCTCTGGCCATGGGAGAAGTTGGCCAAGCTGCGGGGCAACCAGCAGAGTCCCTCTCAGTGGTTCTGTGTGAGCTTATGGCAAACTTACGCAGCTTCATGTGGCTTTAGAGAACCTAGACTCTCCCTTTTGGAGCCCCAGGCTCCAGGCCCCATGATTCTGCTGGGCCCTCGAGGGAGTAGGAAATTGACCCCAATTTCCTGGAGCCTTGGCCTGGGCCTATGATGCATTTGGCCTCTAGCCCCTGTAGGGCTGCAGACCTCAGCACTACAYGGGCCAGAGCTGGCTAGAGAGCAGGATTTGCAGCAGAGAATATATTAGAACTAGCTGGAATCTGCTCAGGGAGATGCAAACAGGGGAGGCCTCGCCATAGAAGGTGCAAGCAGAAAGCACTGGTCTTGCTGCCTCCAGTCTGCCTGTCTTTCTCTCTCTTGCTGGCTCGCTCACTCTGTGTGTATRTCTGGTTCATCTGGCACTTTCTGCTGTTACATTTGCCTTAAAAAATCACAGCAGCCCTCTGCTAGGCTATCTTAGCCTTCAGAATAAGGCAGTCTTGTGGGCCAGCATTCAGGGCTTCCACAATGGAACCCGGAGGACACTTCCAGCCGTGCCTCCTGCTAAGCACACATCCTCCCTTTCAGAAAAGTTAACCCTGCAAAAGTTACCTCTCTTGTTCCCCCCACACCCACACCTTTGCCTGTGCTCCTACAGAGCAGACACCTTGGGGTCTCTAGGTGTTGAGATCCTTCCTTGGAACTCTATCTCAGTGTGCTCAACACTTGCCCACCACCTGCTACACAGTAGATTCTTGCTGATCACTGAGTTGAATTTGACCACGGGGGGATTTGATGATGCTGAGGATCCAATCTGGGAAGACCAGAGACCACTCCTGTGGGTGCTGTCAGAGAACTGAACCAAYGGCAGGGGTTTGGYTCCAAACACACAATTCTGCATGCTAAGGTAGAATCTCACAAGAGCACTGAGCATTCTTCACCAAAACAGTTCACCTCTCTGKGCCCATGCACCTGTCTGTAAAGACCACGTGGTATGCTCTGGGTAACCCTGTATCTTTAACCACTCAGATCCACAGAGAGCGAAAGGCACTTTAATGATTCTATTTTTCAATACCGATTACATGCCAAATGCTCTCAAAATAATTTCATCAATCCAGTAGGACAGAAATCATCTCCTTTCTACAGATTTGAAAACCAAGGCTCAGAAACAAAATGAAAAAGTGATAGCTTTTGCACCACACCAGTGGAAGGGTCAAGAACATGGACTTACACTGCCTAGGTTCAGAAGCCAGTTCTGCAGCTTCCCAGCTGTRTGGACTTTGGCAAGCTCCTTAACTGCCTGTCCCTCCATTTCCTGGACTGTTCAGTGGACCTGAAGTCCCCTACCCAGGAGTCACCATGAGGACTGAGGAGTCAGTTTGTGTAATATGTTTCAAGTCTAAGGCAAACCTTGGAGTGAGCACCAATGGATGCTCAGGACTGCTTCACTGCTCTGTCTTGAAGGGAACTCCAGAATCAGGCTGGCAACCATGGGGTTTAGGAATTGCAGGAGCCAGAAAGAGGAGGCAATTGGGTCTAGGGGTGGCCAATGCATGGCACTGGCCTCTGGGTGCCTCTACTGCCATGGTGGGTGAAGGAGAGCCGAAGGAGAATGAGGCTGCTTTCCCTGGATTAAATAAAAATCAGCAAAATAATAATGAATGGCAGAGGGAAATGTGGTGACACTGGAGCCCGACARCAGCAGACAGCGTGGATGCCTCATGTGGCTGAGGTGCGGACTGAAGCCATCACTGTGAGGCAACTCGGCTCAGCGACTGGCACGGAGTGAGTGTTCACCAAGTTCCAGATGCTGCTGGTCATTTTCCTCTACTTCCTGTCAAGTCCAGGGGTGACAGGTAGCCCCAGTAATGAAGATGGGCAGAAACGGTGTCTTGTGCCGCGTTGTGGTACAGAGATCCAGCTTGAGGTCTGGCTCTTCCAATAGCTTGTGCAACTCAGGGTAAGTCTCTTCTCCTCTCTAGGCTTCAGTGGCCCCTTCTGGGGTGGCAGTGAGGATCCAGCTGAACTGTATTTAGGGGCAGCACAGGGTGTGTGGGCGCACATTTAACAACCCTGAAATGAGATGCTGCCCCTACTTGCCAAGGCACTGTACCCACAGAGAGGTGAACTGTTTTGGTAAAGCATGCTCAGTGCTCTTGTGAGATTCTACTTTAGCAAGCAGAATTGTGTGTTTGGAGCCAAACCCCTGCTGTTGGTTCAGTTTCCTGACAGCACCCACAGCACTGGTCTCTGGTCTTCCCAGATTGGATCCTCAGCATCATCAAATCCTCTGTGAGACCCATGCTGTGTCCACAGGAAAGACCATAAAGACAGGGGCCAGCTCTACATGGCTACTCTCCCATCCTTGCGAGGAACTGAGGTGCTGTGGATCTCGCTCCCACCTTCCTCTCTTGATTTGCTAAGATCCATCCCCAAGTGCCCTGCTAGGTCCACCAGGCTCCGCTGGCCTGTGTCCTGTCCCGCTGCGTGCATCTCCCAGAGACTCTATCCCAGGTCAGGGCTGGCCCTTCCGCTAGTCACCTGCAAAACCCCGCAGTGAATTTGGGAGGTTGTGCCTGCATTATCATCTCAGACCCAGGAGCCTTGGAGCTGGATTAACTCTGAGACAATTAGCACTTCATCCCAGCTGCCTGGGGATGGAATCCCTGCCCTTTGCCACCAGCCTGCCCTGGAAGTGTTTAGGAACAAAGGGACAAGCAGGACCATGGAGTGGAATACCCCTGATTATCTCAGAACTGTGGRCAAGAACTGAGCCTCCTCATCCACAAAATGGGAATGCCATTTCTTTTTTCAAGTTTATCATGAGTTATCAAAATAAGAATCTTTAATAGTGGCTTGGCACTCACAGAACACTAAAAGAAATAGTTGTTATTACTAAAGTTCTCTGTCTTGATTTAGAGGGACCAGAACATACAAATGCCAGACGCTGAACAGTGCAATACCCTAAGTATAACTGTAGCTGTTTACATTTAAATTTGAATTGATTAAAGTGAAATGGAACTTAATATTGAGTTGCTCGGTCACGGTAAGCATGTGTCCACTGCTTGGAAGCTACATGGGGGCAAGTGATGTGCTGCAGATTGACCACAGTAGAAAGTTCTACTGGGCAGGGCTGGTCTAGAGGGACTAGTGGCCCATTTTATTCTACAGATTTATTTGGGCAAGAGACCAGGTTTCCCCATGGCTCACACAGGTCTCCCCACACCCATCTGGCCTTTCSCATGGTAAGTGCCCCTGTCTCTGACTTTCTGGAGTCCGCCAGCAGAGGGCTTGTCTTGCCTTTGTTTCTCACATCAGGGATTATCTGCTCCAGAATGACCTCAAAAGGCAGGTGAGTTCATTTGTGTCTTCCCAGGGGCTGACACAGAGGGTAATGCCTGCAGGTTGGACAGAGCAGAACTCCAAGGGTACCCCCTAGCCACACCCTACTTTCACTGCCTGCTCAGTCCTCCCAAGTACACTATGAAGTAGGTAGTAACCTGCCCGCGGAAACCAAGGAAACCAAAGCTCAAGAGGTAAGTAACTGGCCCTCCAGCTGCTAGTGGTGAAGCCGGGATCCTAACTCAGGTTCCAGATCCACCCTCTTTCTGGCTCCCATGGAATAAATGGAGCTTTTATTTATCAATTTGCTTTTAGTGGCGGTGGGAGGGAGTGTGTGAGTCTTTCCCTAGAGTASCCCCTGGCCTTTCCTGCCAGGATCTGGAAGTTGTTTGGAAAGCTCGGAATTTCTGCACTTTACAAGCTRTTCCATTCGAGATGCTCTGGGCCATACGTCTCTTGTGTTTACAGGCAGGGAGAGGGGATCTGAGGTGAATACCAGCCTTGGCTCTCCGGCCTCTGGTCTGAGGGAAGAGGAAATCCATTTTCAGTACAAACTAGACACGTCAATTGTATTAGGAGCCCATTTGGCACGGACGCCCTCACCCTTCAAGCCGACAAGCAATACTCTGCTCGGCCCTCTAGCCCCTCCACCCTCCGCCAAACAGAGCCGCTCAAGTCGCCTGATAAATTTACATTTTCCTCTCCTTTAAATACAAACTGGCCATGGAAGTTCCTTGGCAGGACCCARGCCAACTGAGTTTCAGTTTGATAACCTGACCACGGCCAGAATCTCATTTGACTCAGCAGTTTGGGTAACAGTTAGCAACAGGTTTATGTGAGGGAGCGTGAGAGAAGCTGATTGGCCTGCGAGAGGCCGTGGTGGCCTCTGGCCTCTGCTGGTTCCAGCACTGGTTCCTGCTGCCCTGACAGGCAAGGGTGGGAGTGTGTACAGCTTGCACAAGTGTGTACCAAAGCCAAGGAGTGTGTGCTGCCAGGGCTCATCAGGTGCTGCCTGCTGGACCCAGGCTAGCTGAGGGCAACTGGGCTCTGCCTCAATTGATACCGGCTGTGCTACCTTGGGTGTTGGGTCAACCTCTCTGAGTTGACTTACTCAAATATGAGAGGATATGGCTTCCACGTTTATTTCATCCCTTTCTCGTGACCTTAATTCAACTGTCACTTCCTGGGTACCTACTAGGTGCCTGGTGCTGTCCTAAGTGCTGAAGGGGCTGCGAAGTGAAAGGAGCAGGGGAGGATTTCACAGTGTGGTGTGGGAAAGAGAAATGAAAGCAGATGATGATAATGTCCTGTGGCCAGTGCTGTGAAGGGGGAACCCTGAGAGGAGCACTGAGCCCCCAAAYAGAAGAGAAGGGGCTATGGGAGGAACAGTGCCTGGGCTGAAGCATGGAGCATGGTGAGTAGGATGACAGTTGGAAGGGGCAAGAGAACTAATTAAGGCAGAGAAGGCAGAGGAGGGAGGGGAGATCCGTTCTACTGGAGATGGAGAGGGTCTGCAGGCTGCCCAAGGAGCCGGGATCTTACCCCCCAGGACAGAGGGTTCTGGCTCCTGAAGGGCTATAAGCGGAGTGACGCCATCATCAGAAGGGGAATGAACAAGAAGCTCAAGGTGGCCCGGGAAAGAGGGGATGGTGGCCCAGGTTAAGGGGGTGTCGTTGGGAACAGACGAGAAGAGCTTTGAGAGATGTTCTGGAGGGACAATGGGCAGGGCTGGGGAATGGCCTGGATGAGGGAGAAGGAGAAAGAGGAGTCAAAGATGCTGCTCAGGCAGCACCTGGAGAGTGGAGGCTCAGACTAGCAAAGACCAAGAGAGACCAGAGGAGCCTGGCGAGGACGGACTGCACTGTRTCCCCTTCTTCCCCAGGATTCACAAACAGCCCTGCTGGCCCTGCGTGGGTCCCTTTCTCTCTGTGCCTCAGGAGACAACAGATGTCTACAGACAGGGATGCTCTAGTGACCGTAAACACACCAGGCACCAATGTAGGAGGCCAGGGTACGGCCACGGCCCTGGTCCCTCCTCTCAGAAAAACTTCACTCCTTGGTTTCTTACTCCAGGATTCTACACGAGACTTCCTCTAGCGCTAAAATAAAAATTCAGCTAAGAATCTTTGGATGAATGTAACAGTGTTGTCAGATGAGAAATGAAGCTGGGAGAGATTACCAGGGGAGACAGTTGGTCACTCCCACGGTGGCGATGCTGGCGTTCTCCACGCCAGGCCTGGRCAGACAAGGTGCCAGAGAAGGAGGCATTGAGGGTCAGGTGGATCTCTGGTCAGCAGAGAGGAGATGGTTGGGGGATGGATCCCAGTTTTCCACGAGGCTTACCTGGGAGGCGTCGCTGTCTTCGCACTTGATCCTACACTCGCTGTTGAACTGGAAGCCATGGGTGCACTGGTAAAGCCCATGGAATTTGGGTGGAGGCGGGTCACAGGTCACAGGAACACAAGCGCTCTCCTGCCAGCTGCCATCCTGGGTACACTGAGTCTTGAAGGCCCGTCTTTAAGAAAGAGATGACAGAAGAGACATCGCAAGGACCGGGTGGCTAGCTCCATGCCCTCCCAACACCAGGGGGTGGCCTCACATCTCTCTCCCTAAATCTTGATTCCCTGCCTGACCCGTTGGGTGGTGGCGCATGTACAAAGATAAAGGAAACCCCGTTCACAGCAGCCCTGCATAGGAGGCAGGCAGGACCGTCAGGCTTTCTCAGCTCCATGTGGGTTGAGATAAAACTCAAGCTCCACGTGCCCCTTTCTCTCCCTTTCTCCCCAAGTGTTTTGATGGGTGCTGACACAACGATGACACCCACTCCCACTATTTATTGAACAACTGCTCTGTGAAAAGCACTTGGCAAGTACTTGGCACACAGCCTCCTTGACTCCTCACACCCACCTGACGGGGTGACTGGTACCACCATCCTGATCTTGCCACTGAAAAATGGAAGCTGGAGAAGGGAGGGCACTTGCCTGAGACCACCTAACCACTCTGCAGCCCGGCTGAAATAACCCAGTGGCATGACTCCGGGGTAGGTACTGCCTCCTGCAGAGCCATGAGCCGGTCCTTCCCATGGGGCAGCCGGTCTGCCTCTGCTCCTCCCCCGATCCCTTGGGGACTTTCCTGGGTACACTTACTTCTTTGACTTCCGAGAGGAGCCGGGCACGTGGTATCCTGGTTTACACTTGTACTTGCAGAAGGAGCCCACTTTGTGCTTGTTCTCTCGGCACCGGGCCGTCTGGAGGTCTGCGTTGGGCACCGGGGGTGGAGCCAGGCACATGAGCTCACACAGGGCCTCTGGGAAGGACCACAGCCCATCCTCCATACAGGTCAGGAAGCTGTTGTTGCCTGGAGCACACAGAGAGGCAGAGGTAGCCGAGAGGAATCCCTGAGAGTTGAGCTAATGCTCTGGCTACCTGGATTTTAGCCAGCTTGATGGCCCAGAGGATCCCTGATATGGAATTCCAGTTCCTTCCACCTATAACTGAGGACCCAAGGGAGCTCAAGAGAGCTGCCGTGAAGGAGAGGAGGCTCCAACTGGGGGAGATGATCACCCTGTACCTGCAGTGAGTTAAACTCCAAGGCTTCCGAGGTCTGACTCTCAACCTCTCACGCTGCACCAGAAAGAGGCTTTTGCAATCCCTCCTCTCTCTCCCTTTCCTGGGCATCCTTCCCCAGAGGTGAAGGACTTGCTTTCCAACAGTTGACAGCATGCACTCCTCTCGGAATTTACTCCAAGATCTGCTATCACTGCGCTGTGTACCACTCCCCTGAGGCCTGGGCCCCAGAATCTGTTCTGGCCCGCTGGTGCCTGGAAGTGACAGCATCGTGTTATCAGGAGGTTTGACTTTCTATCAGGCCCCAGCGCTCAGTGAAGCTCTGCCAAGGCAGCTGAGAGAACAGCACTTCCTCTCAGCCTGGGCCAGCGCGGACAGAGTGCTGATCGCCACCGGGAGGCTGGCCTCATGGGGAACTTTGCAAAGAGAAGTAATACTCAGCAGTGAGGCTCCTCACTGCCAGCTCATGTATTATCAAAGCACAGCCTGCCCGAGACTCCCTAGGACAATTACGGGAGGACCTGAATCGTGTTTCTCCATGGAACATCCCCCTTCCTGGCTATTAGTGAATGGTGCTGACAACCAGGGCTGGAAGCCTGGGATTTGAAGGCTGGAGGGGTGGAGTGACAGGGAGGAAACTGACATTTACTGAGCAGTTACTACGCACTGAATGATTCTCCCATGCATTCTTTTTTGTTCTCATAATCAACAGTGGGTTTTAGTGTGACCATTTTCACGTGGAAATGGAAACTCGGAGAACAAGGTGACTGGACTTCTTGGCTTGTGTTACAACCTCTATAGGAAAAGACAAAACTCAGGTTCAACATTAATTTTGTCTAATCAAAGGGATGGTTGTTTTTAATGGGAAGTTGGCTGTATATGCTCAGCAGAGCCCTTATTTTCCATTCTGGGAAAGCCCACTTCAACTTTCCTAACTGTGGAAAGTAAACAGTTGCTTTCTGATGCTGAAAAGATCAAATGCAATGACAGTCATGAAAAGTGCTGTTGATGTCCTTCTTGCTTCACTTCCTCTCTCTTTCCCTCCTCCTTACGCTTTCACCTTCCCTAGCAGGTTTGAAAGGAGCATGTGAGCTGCACAGAATCCTTAGTTCATTCAACAGGCATCTGTTCAGTGTTGGCTATGTGCCAGAGGCTTTTATAAATTGGGGGCAAAGCAGTGACCAAAACAAAATAAAACAAACAGAAAAAAATAACCCTGCCCTTTTGGAGCTTATAATCTAAAGAGACAGGAAGATATGCAATAAATCATACGAAAAAAGTAGATGACTTATTGTGTTAGAGGATGGCGAGGACTATGGAGAAAAATAAAGTAGAAAAGGGAGAGAGTGATTTGCAATGAGAAGTCGGCCCCTCTGCTTTTCCTAGCAACATTCATTTCCTTCTATTTCCTCCTTTGTAAATACAATTCCTCTCATAAGAACAAGACAACTCAAGGTCTGTAAAACCCACAAAAAGCACTACATTGATAAACTGTGGTCCTGCCGACTACAGATACCTTCCCATCATGTAAGAAGGGTAAAGGAGCCTGGCACAGAGGTGCATGCCTATAATCCCAGGGGGTTCCAGAGGCTGAGATAGGAGGCTTTTGAGTTCAAAGCCAGCCTCAGCAAAAGCGAGGCAATAAGCAACTCCATGAGAACCTGTCTCTGAATAAAACACACACAAAAAATAGGGCTAGTGATGTGGCTCTGTCATTAAGTGTCCCTGATTTCAATACTCAGTACCACCCAAAAAAGAGTAAATGATATGGCAGGGTGATTTCATTTGACTTCCACAGAAGCAGAGAAGCTTCCAGAACACCTGTAACTACAAACTTCTCTTTGTGCTGCTTTTGGAATTGGGTTGGTCAGTGCTTTGGAGCACCCAGGCATGACATAAGCCTAGTGAGAAGGGAACTATACAAGATACGGGGAGTAAGCACTTTCCAAATTGCTCAAGAGGGATAAAAATCTCTGTGGACAAAGCATTGGAACTCTCTTACCCAGTCCACTGGAGCAGCTATGCAAATTTTAAATTGTGAAGTGAGAGTCATTGTTCTTCTGTGGCAAGACAAAATTAAAAACTGCTCATCAAGAGAGGACAAGTAAACTCTCTCCATTCTGGGAGAGTGTAAATAGGAGTCAGCAGTGTCAAAAGAAGAGCCACCCTAACAGGATTGTGATTCAGGACCATGGATATGTCCCCACCCCCACAAGGAACTCAGGAGGTGCAGACAATGGGCTGTACAGAATCTGGATTTCCAAACCCCCGCTGCTGCCGCAACATGGACCCACCAAGTGAATCTGAAGAAAGAAGGACATGATGCAGGGAATCTGCATCCTTCCCTCATTGCCTGACATTGACCTCTATATGCTGAAGGGTGCTCACTGTTCTGGCAACTCTCTGCTTGAGTGCTCTGCCCATTCACAGGGCAAACTCAAAGTGCCAAGTAGTTAACACCTCCAAAAGCAGCACTCAACTGGTGGTGGAGCTGGCGGATTACATGCCAGTGGTCAGAGTTTTGGTTGCTGGGTGCATTCAACACTGTCCCTCAGTGCTCCCCAGAAGGACTGAGATCTGGTTGTCCATAGTAGCCATTAGCTTTGGAAGAGACCCTTATTAACCTGTGAATTTCGTGCCTCTTATCTTCAACCTGACCCCATTTCCTGGAAACACAACTTGGATCACAGAGTAAAGGTGCATCTGAGCCTGGACTTCCCAGGAGAGGCTAAAACTGTTGATATTAGAGAGTAGGTTCCCATGAGTTTAGGGTCCCTGTATCTTCACTTGCTCATCTTTTAAATTCAGGAAAACAAATCTTGTTCAGCCTTTCTACAAATGTGGTTAAGGACACTTCGATCTCTAGTGAGCAGTAAAAAAATTGTAAACTGGTAGCAACATCAAAGGAGAAGTGCTTTTTTTTTTTTTTTTTTTTTTTTTTGTATTTCATTGAAAAGATTACCCAGAAAACCAGGTCTCTTTGGGTGTGCTTTTAAGGAAAATAAGTTCTGGTGTTCTATGGAACCACAGGGTGACAGCAGTCAACAATACCATATTGTATGTTTCAAAGAAGCTAGAAGAAAAGATTTTGAATGTTCACTCCAGAAAGAGATGATAAATGTTTAAAGTGATGGATACGCCAGTTACCTTGATTCCATTACACAATGGACACAAATATCAAAACAACACATTCACTCCTGAAAGTATATTTGACTATAATGTGTGAATCAAAAACAATTAAGAACTGAAGTCAACACAGAACATTTTTCCAAGGGGAGAAGTATCACAGCTTCAGTCTGATTTCCTTAACATTTGCTCTACTGTCTGGCACTGCCTGGATCACAAGGCAAGGGCTGTATCCTGCTCATTCTTTATTCCTAGAACCTGAACTTCTGCCAAGCACACAGTAGGTCCTCAGTTCCCATTCATTACAGCATAATGTTTCATGAATCTAACTGTGATCTTGAACACGTCATTTAACCTGACTGGCCTTAAACTAAAGCTGTATCTGCTGCGTTCCTGTTCAGTGCTGATGTTTTTGGATGTGAAAGGATACTTACTGACCACTACACAGGAGAAATCAGGAAGGCAGTGAGCTGAACTGGAGAAGGGGACTGGGACCAGTGGTTTTGCAAGGGATACCCAATTTCATTGCTCTTGGTAAGAAACAGATGGTAACAGAAGGTAGGGAAGAAGGTAAACTGAGGATAGGAGGCACAGATGGAGGAGAGGGCCAGGTAGGACAGGAAATGGGGGAACAAAGGATGTCAGGCTGATTGCATTCCCAAAAGCAGCCCATGGGAACTTCCGCCAGCCTTGGTGCTGGAGAAGGGCAGAAAGAAGTAAAACAGAAAAAGCCCAGGCACTAAAAGAAACATATGATCCTCTGCTGATGGGAGTTCGGAGAGCACATTTTTAGCCACCTGGAATCCCGGTGAGTTAACGATTATTTTCCAGTTGAGCCTGACATTCCCAGAAAGCATATCGCTTACTCAGGAATGCTGTGCTCTCAGCTCCAACGTGGGTGAATGGGATTACATTTTGATTGTTTAATCCCTCCCCACTTTTCTTTTTTCTAAGTCTCTAAAAGGAGTTCAGCCAAGGGCTATCTGTAACTGAGTCCACTAGGTAGACACAAGAAGCATGACTGGTGCTATCTCCTTGATCCTCCTATTAACCCAATTCCTCACTAACACCATTCTGTAAGTGAGAAAACTAAGATGAGGGGGTCCTGCTAATCATTATGCAAACTAAAGCTGGGACTCAGTCTAGGTCTGTGGACCCTTATGTGATGGCTTTAGCCCACTGTAGAGCTTCTACCCAGGAGCATGGCCAAAGAAGAACTGTTGTCCAGAGAAAAATCTCATGGAACCAGGAATTTAGACCAGTGGGTATCCTGGAATCAAGGACTAGCCATACAATAGGATTCCACCCACCTTACTCTCTTCCTGGTCTGTTCAATAGGGGTCCCTCATTTTCAAATATATTTACCAAGGTGGCCCATTTATTATTCCAAATATTGCATACAAAGAAAAGTTCTAAGAAGCCATTTTCAGGGATAATTGATGAAGAAACTTTTCTAAGAGTAAGAAGGGAATCTGGAATGCTGGGCACTTCTGCATAGTCAGGGACAGAGAAGGGCAAATGAAAAACACAAACTAGATTCCTTCACTAGGGCAAGCAACAGGGTTCAATGTTGGGCCCTGTAGGAAGGACATGGCTACCCATATGCCCATCTTCAGGAAAGCCTAAGAAATCAGAAAATGCTCAATGGGATTGGGAATCTTATAGAAACTAGTGAACAACAGGCTGTTTCAAATGTAAGGATAAATAGGCAACATAGAGATAGAAAAGTCAACCCGAGCTAGGAGCAGGAAACAGACCTTTTACAAAGATCTTGGTAAGAAGGGGGCAGGCTTCCTCAGGAGCTGCACTCCCTAGTAAATATTAAATGCACCCAGCACGGTTCAGTTGAGTTGGGGTTAACTAGGTGATGGGAGTAATGTTGTATTTTTAGCCATTTAATTAAACATTTATGATTCTGATCTCGAGGTTGTCCTTTCTGAATTTAGGAGGACTTTTCCTCTCACGCATTTTTGCAGGTTCTGCTTGTGCTCATTTGATAAAGAACCCGGGAAGGGAGTGAGTTGAAGATGGCGAACTCACAGGCTTTTCCGTACAGATCTTCAAGAGAAGCTGGAATTCAAGTGATATTTTAGGACATTTGAGGAAAATTCATCTGGAATGTAAGGACAAGTGGGTCTGTGCTGTTTGGGTGACACTAAGGTTCTTTGAGTCCATCCTTGGCAGACTGTCCTGGTTGGTGGCTGCTTGTCTAAAGACACTAGCCCTGTGACTGGTGGGAGGAACGTGAAGAATGGAGTTTGTCCCCCTATTTCCTAGCATAAGGACTCCATAGGACAAAATGGGAGGGGCTGAGAGTACACTGCTCAGATTGTTTCTTAGAGACAATGAGAATTTTCCAGCCCTTTCTCCACTCTGCCATCATATACATACCACCTCTTTTAATCTTCCATCTGGCCCTTCAACCTGGGCTCTGGGAAGCCTATTTTATAAATGAGGATACAAAGGCTCACAGATGTGAAAATGCTCCCCTAAAGCTGGTTAAGGGCACAGCCCCAAACAGAACCTTGGACTTGTGATTCTAAAGCTACGGCTCTTTTGGATTAATTTGCGAAGAAAGGGGATAGGGGAGGTAGAAGGAAAGATCAAGAAGCAAACAAAATAACAGGGGAAAAAAAAGTTGTTTTGATCACCCCTCTGCTCCCTGGCTTGCGAAAAGAGGCAAGTGAGGTGGCATTAACAGGCTCATCAGTCCGGCGGCCGCAGATCAAGCAGAAGCCTCAGGACGGGGAATCTGTGTACCCCACGATGCTGACAAGCGAAGTTGGTCCTAGTGGGTTGGGGTGGGGAGTAGAGAGGTACTTCCCGATATCCTCCAGGGAACAGGGTTGAGATCAACAGCTCTCAGAGTGATGGTCCCCCTGAGGCCTCCTCTCTCCAGCAGGGTCCCCTCCCCTGACTCTACTCAGCAGGCAAGCCATGGCAGATGGGTTTGCATCACCTTGATTAAGGATTATTATTAGCCACAATGAAAGCTGTAATAATCAATGCTAATTTATACACCTCCTTTCCCCAAGGGCCTCTGATTGAGAGAGGTGTGATTTCCTAGCCTGCAGTTATTAATACATCCTGCACCCCACTGCCAAATGGGGCCAAGCGATGGACTTGGAGGGCCCGAAAGTTGGAATGTGTCCAGTTTCCATCGGTCTCTTCACCTCTCTCTGACCTAAATGTTCATAGTAGCTCCAATGAAATGTCTAATAACTTTTTATTCAAATCTTCTTGGGTTAAAACTGAGAGGAGTTGAAGGAGGTGCCCTAGATAGATTTCCTGTCTTTCTTTGGGGGCAGTTTTTTAGTAAGATCTCTGGGTCTTTCATTGGCTTCTTAAAGGAAACATGTCTGGGGTGTCTTTTTCTTTCTTCAATGCATCCAGCCAGCCAGGCCATAGCATTTCAGTGAATCTTACCATATTCCAGGTCCGGGGCTTGCTGACAGCAACATGACAGGGGTTAGACATGGTCACCATTCTAAGGGACTCAAGCCCATAAGGGCTTCCTAACCTTTTGGGGTCATGGGTGGGTCTTCCTGGAAAAAACCAGGGGAAACTATTGGTGCCGTCCTTTCTTCACAGTGCCTGAAAGGCAGGCACACACATTAGCACGTCTAAGTTTACAGTAAGAACTCATGGAGCCGAGTGCAGTGGCCCATGCCTGTCATCCCAGTGGCTCAGGAGGCTGAGGCAGGAGGATTGTGAGTTCCAAGCCAGCCTCAACAAAAGTGAGGCACTGAGCAACTCAGTAAAACCCTGTCTCTAAATAAAATACAAAAATAGGGCTGGGGATATGGCTCAGTGGTCCAGTGCCCCTGAATTCAATTCCTAGTAATCCCCCCCGCCCCCCAAAAGAAGAAGAAACTCATGAACTTGCCTCCAGGGAAGTTCCATATGCCACAGAAGCCCATTCACGCCCACTCTGTAGCATGATGGACCCCAAATTAGGACCCCCATGTTCAAGTGAGTATTATTCTGGATATTTGATAAAAGGGTGATATATCCTCTGATATACCGAGTGATGTGGCTCCGTCATTGAGCGTCGCTGATTTCAATACTCAGTACCCACCCTCAAAAAAGTAAATGATATGGCAGGATGATTTCATTTGACTTCCACAGAAGCAGAGAAGCTTCCAGAACACCTGTAACTACAAACTTCTCTTTGTGCTGCTTTTGGAATTGGGTTGGTCAGTGCTTTGGAGCACCCAGGCATGACATAAGCCTAGTGAGAAGGGAACTATACAAGATACGGGGAGTAAGCACTTTCCAAATTGCTCAAGAGGGATAAAATCTCTGTGGACAAAGCATTGGAACTCTTACCCAGTCCACTGGATCAGCTATGCAAATTTAAAATTGTGAAGTGAGAGTCATTGTGACACCCTCCAAAACTCAGTCTCATGTCAAAACACAGTACATACTTGATTAGAAGCCAGGCACATTCATCCTGAAATTGCTGCAGAGTGACTCTGTGAGTTTATGCAAATTTCTTTCCTTCCTTCACTGGGCTTTGAGTTCTCAATATTTCCAGTTACTCTTGCTGCGCTCCGAGAGCTCCTCTGACACTCTGGGACCTGCCGACCATCTCTGGCTAGTTTCCAAAGTGTGGTCTCTTCTCCAGTCTGCATACTTTTTCTTATTCAATTCCACCAGTGCCCAGGTCAGGGTGATGATATCATTCCTGCTCCTCTCTCCCCAGCCCACCCCCTTGCTAGAGAAGAGCAGCCAGCATTAGAGACAGAGAGACTTGGGAGACAACAGAGTCCCCACCACTGATAGAACACCCTTGGGCAACTTCTATAAACTCAGTGACTCAGTTTTCACCTCTGTGAAATGGAGATACTAATAATAGGTACTCACAGGGCTTACTGGGCCCTAATCATACAGAGTGAATTAATTGCATCAGTTCCAAATATTATTCTTTCCCTCCCTCCTTATCTCTTTCTTATTTATTTATTTATTTATTTATTATGATAAGATTTGCATTCTTGAAGGGAACTTGACTGCCATTTGTACCCACATATTTTTTTCCTCCTAGTGACACAGCAGGAGCAGTTAACATAAATTCATTCAGTAGGAAGACATTAGTGGTCCAGCCCATGGCATTTAGGACCCAGAAGAAGGGCCTGGAAGTGGCTTCTAGGTTTCCCACAGGTAAAGGGGGCTGGCAAGCTGAGGCCAAGGGCCCAGGATACCTTTCAGCTGAGCAGGGTGACGGCACTGAAAGGAGCATCTGCTGCCAAAGGTGGTGCCCTCAGGACAGGAGAAGGAAGCGGCATAGACGTGGTGGTGGTCTGGGGCGCCGCAGTCCATGGGCTCACACACCACCTGCTTGCTCCACTTTCCCTCTGTGCAGGTCACCGTGACGCTGGGTCCCACCTGAAAGACAGAGACAGGAGCAGTGAGGGACAGCAGACTGGACCTGGGTGTGGGAAAATACCCTACTCTCCCAGGTGACAACGGAGTCTTGTCCAGGGACAGGAGACCAATGTTTAGCAGTGAGCGTTTGCTCAGGTGAACAATCTCCCCCCACTGGGTGAATTAGATATTTCAGCTCCCACACCATTTACAAGTGCAGAAACTGAAGCTCAGAGACATGATATGATCAGTCCCAGGTTATCCACCTGGAAAAAAAAAAAGATAAATGGGACTTGAATCCAAAGACTATGCTCTCTAAAAGCTTCCTATAGCATCTTCCAGACCATTATTTTCATCTTATGGATGAGAGATTAATGGTGACATAAGACCTGCATGGTGATTTCTTAAATAAAACAGACTCAGAAACATGATTCAATGTGGAACTTGGAATTCTTTTCTTGGAGGAGGCTACCAGGGGTCCAGTCGAGGTCTTGGTGCATAGTAGGCCCTGCCCCGGGATAGAGGAGGCCTGGGAGTTTGCCCTTGGTGTTATGAGAGCATGAGCAAGCACCTTTTCTTATCTCAGTTCTCACATTGGCCACACCAGTGGGTGCAACCCCAGGATTGCTTTAAGAGCCACTCCCTAAGTTGAGATTTGATGGCCCGATAGTCAAGAGAGACAGACATGAAGAACAAACAAGTGGAGGAAAAACCAAAAGTCTGACAGAGATCAGAACTAAATTACAAGATGGTAGGGCTGTGTAGGTGGAAGGGTGAGGCCATGCCATAGAGCCAAGGGAAGGACGGACGGTCATTGGCAGCCCGGGGCCTCTATTCAAGGAGGAAGCCGCCAAATCCCAGGGGATTGGGGATGCCAAGTGTTGATCTGAGATTTTTTAAAAGCAAAGGACATTTTCCTCTCTTAAGTACACATCAAAGCAGCAGAGGTCCCACTGCCAAAACTGCCTGATTGTCTCCATAGGCGTTCAGACCTGGCATGTCTGACACACGGAAGTAAGTGTCTCAGATGAGCAAGCCCAGAAGCTCTGTACAAATAGGCGTTCCCAGCAATGATGAATGTGCCCTGTGTGTTTGCAGGGTGAAGGCAGAGGCTATTGGCAGGGCTCCGGGAAAAAGGTGTATCTAGCAACAGAGCTCTGGAATCCTCCAACCCCAGGACCGGAAAGACTTTCAACTATAAACGTCTCTCACTTCCCCATATCCCACCCAAGACACCAAAGTAACATCTGGCAGAAGCAATATTCTGCCACGGCACTCAGATCCACTCAGGACCATGGACCTCATGCAGGACACGTCCATGTCTTCCATGAGCGCTGCTAATGATTTCCTGAAGCTTCTCTGCTGCTGAGGTCTTACCTCGGGACTCCAAGCCACCCACGTGGGCAGCCAGAAGAGACTTTGTCAAGCATGATTGTACCATGCTGTGTCCTTCAACAGCTCCCTGTTGTCCTAAACTGCCTAACTAAGCTGGGAGGGCCCCACACCAGCGGACCCAGCTGGACCCTCTTGCCTGATGACTTAGTGAGTTTAGAAAAAGGACAGTGTTTCCACCTGTGACATTCTCATTGTCAGCAACAGGCTTCCACTCGTCACTCCTGCCCTGCCAGAGCATACACCTATCCCTTCCCCCAGCATGCACCGCTTTGTTTAGCTGTCTGCTTCTCTGTTGGATGGTCACAATGTCATGTCACCCGTTCCAGGGCACTTTCCTTGCATCCCCCTGTGCTTCCAGGCCACAACTCATGAATTGTTTGTCTCCGCTCCCCAAGTAGCCAACTAAGCTCCTTGAGAACAGAGACTAGGTCTCTCTTAATCGCCAGGATCTAGTACTGCGTCTGATTCATAGTGGGCACATGTTTCGTGATGGATGAATGGAAGAGCACCTCTTAGACACAGGGCTCACCTCTTCCTAAAGCTGCCCCATTCTAATATGATAGAGTTCTGACTGCAAGAGGTTCATTCCAGAATGCTCAGCCCATGGTCTTGCAGATTTGCAACCTACAACAGACATGGTTGTGTGCGGGTGTGGAACACAACTCTGTACAAGCAGCCTTCTTTCAGAGATTCCAGATGGCTTTGTTAGTTGCTTGATCCATTCATTTGTTGGGGGTGGGGTGGAATCTACTCTCTATGTTGTGTGACAACCCTGTCTTAAGTGCTGGGGATTCTGCAGGAGCATGTTCTGCACCCACCAGCCTCACCAGGGCTCTGCACTCAGCACCTACACGCACCTGGCTCTTGATCAGTTCATCGTCCCGCTGTATCTGGAGCACGTAGCCTGTCCGGCAGCTCACAGTGCACTGGGCGCCATGGTAGCGGTCGCTGCTGGAGCAATTGAGAAAAGCATTCTCCACGGCCAGCTCTGGGCAGTCGGTGGCCTCACAGGCGAAGTGCACACAGCTAGAGAAGGAAGAAACAAGAGGGTCAGAAGGGATTTCCTCCCAGGAAAACCACAATCCAGCTGGAAGATAGAAACTGAGCCTCTCTCCCCAGAATTCCTGGAGGCTGAGGCTAAGTGGAGGAAGGGTGCTGGCTAAGGTAGAGAAGACTGACTCTGGAGGCCATGCGTAAGATTTATCCTTACAACCTCAACTTTGGAGACAGACAATCTAGGGTTCAAATTGTACCACTTGAAAGGGTTGTGGTTATCAGGTTTCAAAACTCGTAGAACCTCAGTTTTCCCATTTAAGAAATGGGGATCATTAGGATTATAGCAACTATTTATTGAGTTTCCTATCTTTCAACCACTGGGTTGAGTGAAAACCTCTTTGTTTTTTATAAGAGTAAACACCTTCAAGGGTCATGGGGAGGATTAAACTGGTTAATTCAGGAAATACACATAGCAGAGTTCCTGGCACATAATCAGCACGTAATAACCAGTTGCTAATTTTATCAACACATTTGTGCTCTCTTCTCTAGAAGCTGTGTGACTCTGGACAAGCCAAATGTCTCTCTAGGATTCTGTGTACCTTCAAGTTCAGCTGACCTCATAGAGGCATGAGACTCAAGTGATGGAAGTAAAAGTCTTTTGTACCTGTGAAGCAACTGAAGAATTCTTAGTAAAGTTGTACAGCATGCTCTGCACCTTGCTATAATTGCTGTCCCTACTTTTTCTGCCAATCTGAATCCTACCAATACTTCGAGGCTGAGTTACATGTAATTGCTATAGGAAACTTTCCCTTTGTTCCCCAAGTGAGCTCCCTTCCAAGCATTCTGCCGTTCTTTCTCTGACAAAGGTGTTTCATGCTGAATGCATTGAAAACACAGGGCCTGGGGACCCACAGGACTGCAGTCTGTGCCAGCCTTTAAAGATACGAATGCAAACAACATCAACCCCTGTGCCTGGATGATCTTCCCCCTTGTGTTACAGCTGTGCTGACTGTGGGAACATAACTCACTGGTGGCTTATGCACAAGAGCTCACTCTTTGCTCACAAGCACCTTGTGGGCTAAGTGCGCCTCACTTCAGAGTTGGAAAAATTGAGGGCTAGCAGGATTAAGTCACCTATTTATCTTCCCATCCACATGTGTGACCCCAGAGTCCTTGCTGTTAACCTTGCCCATGGTCCAGGACTAGAATATCCTGAGGGCAGAGGAAAGACCTTTTTCATCTCAGTGTACTTTGCATTGTGACTAAAAATGCCTGGCAACTGATGTTGCCTAAACTGAAAGAAACAAACTGGGTGGTGCCTTGCAATGGCTCCTAAGAATCTGAGACTTTATTCCAAACAGAGAAGGCTTCTTACGCCCTGTTCTGTCTGACAGCTGCTGCTTCTACCCCAGCACCTGGCCTACTGTGAGCACAGTCTTGCATTTTGGCCAAACGTGAGCTAGATTTGCATTTAGAATCTGGAGACTCTCATTTTCCTATTTCCATCCAGGATACCGGAAAACATTTTTAACAAACCAGATTCAGAAGAGCTTCCCAATATTTTCCTTGGTGCTGTTTCAGGATATCCCACTGAGCCTTCCCCGCCATACACTACCTACTGATCAAAAGTATGGTGAAAGCCAGGTGTGTTGGTGCAGGCCTGTCATCCCAGCGGCTTGAGAGGCTGAGGCAGGAGGATAGCAAGTTCAAAGCCAGCCTCAGCAACGTAGTGAGGACCTAAACTTACTGAGACCCTGTCTCAAAATAAAAAATAAAAAGGGTCAGAGGATGTGGCTCAGTGGTTAAGCACCACTGGGTTCCATCCCTGGTACAATAAAAAAAAAAATGTCTAACAAAAATAGAGTAAAGGAAACTGAGCTAACAGCCTCCAGGACAAATCACAAACTAATTCCCTTTCCTTTTCTTGAATACTCAGAGAAGGGCAAGCATTTAATTCCGGGCTCAGGCCCTCCCTGGGGTGGCTTTGTATTGGCCACACACCTCTTTTCTGAAAGGCAGGGCCACTGCCATTAAATGGTGCTGGCAGAACTACTTTCATTCTCCACCCTCTCTTCACTCCTGACAGCCCTGTGCTGTGCCACGTGGAGACCTCCAAGAGGCTGCAACTGCGGGCGTCCACACAAGGGCTTTGACCAAACAATGCATCTGTTCACGTTGTGTGAGCGCTGGGGGAAGAGCCACATGGTTCCAATTTAAATAGATTTACTCCATGAGCTACCAGCTCCCGAGCTGTTCTTCGGACCTGCGCCTTACAGAGTGGACAGCTCACTCTGCTCCCAGAAGGCACCGGGGCTCCTGCCCTGTTGAAGACCCAGAGAGGAGAAGGCACTTTCTTCTCTGGGCTCTGAGCCACCGAGGGGAAACCAGCACCCCGCTTGTTCTGTCACATTAAAGATTTTCCTCGTGGGAAAGTGGAACACTGAAACGCTTCATTTCCTTGGATGGAGAAAAAGCCCAAGGCTTCTTGACCAGGGAAATCTGAGTGCACGTCCTAGCTCTGCCATTTATCAGTTATTCTACCTTGGAAATTCATATGACATCCTGAGCCATGTGTTCATCCATTCAACAGCCATGACAACCGAGTCAGGCATTCTTGGAGGGAACCAGTAAGTGGATGAGCATTTTGACCTCTGCTGTCCTGTCAGTGGAAAAAGGTGGTCCTTTGTATTTAAAAAGGGAGGACAGTGCCAAGGAACGGTAACCAATGAGAGCATTTTGGATAATGATGTGCACCATAAGACATTAAAACAAAGTAAAATTATAGAGGTTGATTATTTGTGTTGGGGGTGGGGACTTTTTATGGAAGGATCCAAGAAGAAGGGACATTTGAACTAAAACCTGGGTGAAATGAAAGGATCAAGCATACAAAGTGTTGGAGCAGAGGGTGTCCCAGGCAGACTGAAAGGCTGGTGTGATGATCCAGAACAGGACAGGGTATGGTGTGTTTGTAGAAAGGGAAGGTGAATGTCTGAGAAATGCTTTGGAAACAATGAAGCTCCCCCAGGTGTTCTCTTGATTCTACCTCTTTCTGCTATAGAAAGAAAATATCCCCTGGTCTCAGAAATTACTAGACCCAAAAGTTTCATGTGCAGGTAGGAATGGGAAGCAGTGGATTAATTAATCAGTTTTCTTGGTTGCAGGACTTCTCAGAACCTTGACTATTCAAATGCATATGGACCATGTCCAGAAAGAAGCAAAGGGTTGAAGGATTTTCCAAACCCTTATACCTTTCTTCTTTCATGAGACATTTCTTAGGACTAAGGTCTTCTAGAACACAGTTTGGAGAGTGAGTCCTCCTTGGTTTTTAGGCACATCTGACTGCACCTACCTTGCAGACTTGCAAACAGAAAGAAAGGGGGAGAAGGAGGTGATCTGCACCAGGAATTTGCCACTGGGTCTCACCCACATCATCATATCTGCAACCACACAGTATCTCCTTCAGGTAGTGAAATTAGTCCTATTTGGGACTCAGAGTTCTGAGCTGCTTGCTCAGGGCCACTCAGCTTAGACAGAATTCTGATAGAGATCTGCCGGTGTGCTCCCTAGGTCCCCATTCTCTCCTTACCATCCTGATGGTTGGAAAAGGTTGTGGGAATGCACTGTTCAAAAAAGGTAAAGGAATGCGAGTCGCTGGGCCTGTTCCAGGTGCGGGCGGCGGCTCTGCTCTGCCCCTACTCCAGTTGGCCAACATCACCCTGATTCCTAAACCTGACAAAGACACTTCAAAGAAAGAAAACTACAGACCAATATCTCTAATGAACCCAGATGCAAAAATCCTCAATAAAATTCTGGC